CCTATAAGGTAGGGGAAATGAAAAAGGAAAAACCTGGGTACTCAAGAGGATAGAACTGGGGGGCCACCAAGGGTGGCCAGCTAATTCTCGGGGGGGGGGGGGGGGGGGTGTGAATTAGCTGGCCACCCCCAACTACTGGCACCCCTGATTGGGATAGGTAAGAAACCATGTGAGTGGGGGCCTCTTCAGTGGGCCCATTACTCTCCCCAAAGAAACACTAATTAATAGAAGGACATAAATTACTGATTGTAAAACTGTGGTTAAAAGGATACTGTAACTTATCTCAATGGTGTAGTTCCCAGATGGAAGCCCCTTTGAGAAATCTGTGTCATCATTTCGCTTTAAAATCCCGTAGAGCTTCTTAAAGTTGGGGAAAGCTGCCTCTCTCATCCAAACAATCAGATCATCATTGATAAAACCGTTGTTGTTCGGGTTGTGTAGATCGAGTTCATACACAGGTTTTTGCCAGTACAGAGGTGGAACTGTGCCTTTAAAGAAAATATCGAGAGTTAGCATCCTGTCGCACACAGAAAGACATTTTTATTTTTACCTTCTATCTTTACCTTCAAACACCTGAGCCAGAGTCAAGTTGTCTGTCCTTGGGTTGCGGTATTTGACGTTTTTGTCTGTGTACCATGTGAGGCCGGTCCGTATTAGAGGTACACGGACAGGAACAAAAACGGAACCAATATGTTTCTGGTAGGTTAGAATGAAGGTGTCTGGGGGGAGAAACATGTGAGTTAATGGTCCAATGAGGTGAAAGTAAAAGACGACTGACTCTGGGGGTTATGAGTGCTGCTTACCATTAAACATACTGTTGGCGACAGCTCCGCAGGGAGCGATAGGGTCTCTGTTCACATCTTTCGCAAACGGTTCACAATATGTACTTGGGTTCTATTAAAGTAAAAAAAAAATACAAATTAGATACAAAGTTCTTGGAAATTCGTCTCAAAATGTTAATTTTGGAGCTCTTTTATGTTATTAGAAGTAAGACTACTCAACAAGTTTTTTTGATTCTGCAAACTCCTGGAACCAAGCCGTCTCAACACAATGCAAACTTATAAGACTATTAAAACAAAGACGTAGTTCAAAGGGCTTAAAACATATGGAAAGAAATTAGGCATGACAGTGAATGAAAGTCGGGTGTCTTTTTCCTATTGCTTCTTGTTGTGGGAGCTAAGCTAAGAGGAGATACATGATTGAGCCACACAAACGGCATAAATTGTTTATAAAAAAACAAGAGCAACTTGAACTGAGCCTTCGGTTCTGCCTCTCGTTGATCGTCGAGTGGACCAGGCCATCAAGAAATGTCCCAGTTCTCTCAAAGGCCAGTCTGCCTCTGCTCAACACCTCCGCTTGCTTAGCGGTGCTGCAGGGTAAAAGGTCCCCCAGCAAACTGTTGGTGAGTGTGACGATCTGAATGCTGTTCAGGCTATTTAAACCAATGCTGGTTCTAAATAAATAAATAAACAACACTTGGCCTGGGGGGTTGGGGGGGGTGGGGTGCAAGTAAAGCCTGGCGGCCCACCAGGGTGACACTGGGAAAAACTCTGTTCATTATGATCACGCCAGCATTTCTGGAGATATTTTGCTAACAGATGAACAGAGTTTAGACAAAATAGTTAAACGCAAACATTTTAAACAAAGACCATCTCTTAGTGCTCAGAATAAAAATTTGGGATCAGTATCAGCAACCACCACACTAAATTTTAGGTCAATATCTGTCATCATTATTTCTACGAATAAATCAGTCAGAATTAGACTTTAACACAACTTTAAAAAGCTAGAATTAAGATAATTTTTAATGAGTATTTACCAAAATAGTCAAACTAAAATAATATAAAAAGATCTATGTTTGAAAAGTATACTGTTAGTTTTCATTTAAATAATTTAGAAATGTTTAAAACTGTTTAATGTTTAGATTTCCTTTTGGATCTAAATGGCTTTTATAAATAGTTGTTATTTACTCAATAGTAAAGCAAATAAAAGATCTGAGATTGATTCCAAATGGAAGCTTTGCATTTGGAAGCTGCTCATGTTAATCCACAACATGCGGCCAAAGAAGCTGCTCAGTGTGACAGAAACAGACCAACAAGAAGCTCAGCAACATGAAAAGATCTGGATGTTAGAGGTGGACAGCTGGGAGGAAATAAAATCAACTCTCACACAAGTGCAGAAAAATCTCCCAAGTTAATTATTAATTATTTAGGCCTCATACTCTAAATGAGTGACAAATACTTTGAAATGTCATATCGTCATCAGAACCATAAACCAGATAATATAGGCCAGGGCTATTCAACTAAATTGCTTAGTGGCCAGATATTGGGGGCAGGACCTTGCCCAATGATGTTAGGGAAAACACAGAAATGTTTTATTGTAATGTATTATTATTTCCTACCTTTTAAAACTGTTTACTTTGCTGCAAGTGAATCAAATTTCTATATGATTTAACATCTATTGTTTTATTACATGGAGTTTATATACAGTATATACAGTTCTGACAAAAATTAAGAGACCACTGCATATTTTCCCCGTATTTGGTGGAAAGCATTCCAAATAAAACTATTAATATTGAAATCAATTCATTACTGTTTTGTTTTTATATTAGATTATATTTGATTTGGTCAATAAAGTAACCAAGAGAATTCTGTTAAAACTATTGACATTAGAATCAGTTCTTTAGTTTTTGTTTTTATATTAAATTATCTTTAATACTAACAATAATTATGTGATTTTCTCAATAAAGCAATTTCCATATTATTACAGTGATACTAACAAATAAGCAAATTATTCATTCTAAATTCAGCTTTCTGTCCTTCATGAATGAACATTAGTCTTTGTTTTATTTTATTTGGGCGACTTGCATATTTTAAGCAAAAGGAGAGTGAAATGATGTGAGGAATAAAACACTTTTAATGCAACTGAGTACGAGTTAAAGTAGCATCATTGGCACTGTTGTATTATTATTTCCTCCTACGTTAATAAGTTTTTTCACGCTGACTTAAAAGAATGCCCATTTTGTAAAATACCCTTCATGTCAGGATTAATTAATTCAGTTTTAAATCAGTTTTACAGTGGCCATTTTTGGACATTAAATACTAAAAACTAAAATAACACAATCAACCTGAACCAGACTGAATAGAAGAGAAGCACGAGGAAGACTTCTAACCTGAAATACAATATGGGTATATATTCCTTTCCGTGGCTTTGGATCATTTGTATTTCAAGGTAATGTGACAGAAGACAACAGCTGCATCAATTCAAAAGTGAATAAACAGAGAATTACCTTTAATTTATTCTTCCTGCCCACCATCTGCCCATCATCTCTGGAGTCCATGTATCTGCGGAGGTTCTGATGAAAGTTCTTTAGTCCGTAGTAGAAAAACACATCTCCCTTAAAAAAAACACGCCTTTATCATTACGTGATGTGGACTTACAGTATTAAACAACAAAAGGTTCTACAGGTGGAGCTGGAATTAGTGTGTTCAAACCAAACTTTTCAAGTCATAAGATGTTACCTTAAATTTTTTGTCAATGGAAAACTCCACCTGACATGTGCAGGGCTCTCCTGCGAGGCTCACATTTTTGCGCATCTGAAAGCACTCATCACACGTTCCAAGTTCTGTGTAGTCCAGCTGAAATGGCAGAGAAGAGTGGATTAAAACACAGTAATCAGCTTCTGGTTAACCCTTTTATATTCTGTCACTCCATTTTTATGATTTTTTTTATTGCTCACAAGGACATACAAGCCTCTGCTTTTTTCTCTCTCCAGTATACAAACTCTCAAGTATTATATCTAGACGTGAAAGTATAAAGTACTTTTTAAACTCACCTTCATTTCCTGTGTGCTCTGCACTGTGAGAAGCAGCCACACACCGAGCAGCATGCATATCAAAGCCATGATGTAGAAGAAAGGCAGCACAGTGTTAGCTGTTAGCATTGGAGACCAAGCAGGTAGTCGCTGCTGTTTGAAAGCAGAATTGTCTGGCCTCCGAGCCAAAGGCCCAGACTTGTCTTTCACTCGACCCATGTGGAACCTTTGGCTGATAGTGCAGAAGAGGAACCTGACGGACAACCGGAGACTCAAAAACAGCAAACAAGAAGGCGCTGCTCTTTCTTCTTTTCCTGTATTTTATGTCATAAATATCACACACACACACACACACACACACACACACAC